ATTTCGTAATGTTGTTTATTTCTCTTATCGCGAATACTTTTTAGACAAAGGGGCAGTTTGGGAAGCGAATATATTTATTTAAAGACTTATAATGCATTTATTAAGTTATAAACCATGCAACTTTTACTTATAAGACAACCTTTACACATTACGCAGATGTACGTATACGTAGGCCGCAATTAAAAGTGTTTGGATGAACACTTGGGTGAGACCTAATATAATTTTTAAAATGAATGTAAGCAAATATCTTCTAGATAAGGTGAAGTTCCTGAAACTTGCAGTAAAAGTGGCATGCGAACATGATTACTTCATACATTTGTTCGTTCCCACGACAGTCGGGTCTACGCAACCGGAACAAACCAGATTTATATCATGGATATCCATGTTATATCTGGCCCAGGACTGTAACTCCAGCAAAACCGCAGAAATGTTTGGCGAATTTGTATGATATTACTACAACAACAATAAAGAATTCATCAAATCGGAAAATAAATAACGGCTTGTGCAAACTCGAAAGAAATCTCCTCATGAAATTTCTCCAAGTCAAGGCACATTAATAATTAATAATGAAAAAGTGTGGATGAGGGGGGTTAGAATAGGGCTCCCTGACTTCAAAAATACCCCCTTTTTTCTAGCAACCCTACAGTTTTTATATAATTTGGTGTTAAAATTTTCGTATAAACGATGAATAAGATAGCAATATAACATCAAACTTGGTTCTGCCAGACTGGAATTTTGAATAATAAAAGCAGATTTTTAATTCGGAATTTGCACTTAGTATAATTCTCCTTTATGTATTTCCGAAGAAGAAGTGCTGGACACCTTTTGCAGAGAACTCCCTTCTGCGTAGGAGGCCTTCTGCCGCACTTAGGGATTATAACCCTCACTAAGTAGAATTCTCCTTTCTGTATTGCTATGAAGTGGGCTGCACACTATTTGCAGAGATCACCTTTCTGCGTAGGCGGCCTTCGGCCTCACTTAGGGATTATAACCCTCACTACGTAGAATGTTCCTTTCTGTGTTGCTGAAAAAAGGGGGCGGGACACCTTTCTGTGTCGGCGGCCTGCGGCCGCACTTAGGAATTATAACCCTCACTACGCAGAATTCTTTCTATTGTATTGTTTTGTACAGTATGGCAACACATGTTGTTGTTGTTGTAGCGGCTACAACAACCGCGCCCAGATCGGTTGATATCTCAGTCGTTGTCGTCAAGTTCCACTAACGGCAGCCCTAGGAAGCGTGCAGCCTCTATCGGGCCGGTCCACAAGGACAAAGCCGTTAGGGTTGTCGGGTTTTCCGGGCATGCGAAAAGATGTTTCGAGTCATGTGGGGTCTCTCCGCATGCCGGACACTCATTTGGCACATCCTCATTCAATCTACTTAGGGAGGAGTTTAACCTGCTGCAGTAGCCAGAGCGAAGTTGGGCTATTGTTGTTTGTGTCTCCCGAGGCAGATGAAGCTCCGTCTCGTCTATGTCCGGTGGTGGTGTGCCTAGAAAGGCATTCACAGGTCTAGAGTCTACATAACTCGAGACTGACTCCCTGTGAATGCCGTTCAGGGCCAGTCGGTAGGCTGACGGTCCAGAGGTTGCTTGATGAACCTCTGGACTTCGTCCGTCAGTCATATAGATGCCTCCTGACGTGCCTAGGCGAGGACTCCTCTGCAAGCAGCTGTCTGTTTGGGTGGCCACTTCTGTGGCTCCCGATTAGAAACTGGTTGAATAGCATTATGTTGTGCTCCTTTATGGGAAGCATTTGGGCCTCGTTGTGAAGGTGATGTTCGGGCGACATCAGGAGGCATCCTGTCGCTGTCCTGAGTGCGGTGTTCTGTACAGTCTGTAGCTTCGTCCACTGCGTCCTACTAGTCCCCGGCGACCACACTGGCGCTGCGTAATTTAAAACCGGCCGGCTCATTGCCTTGTATGTTGCCAGCAACGTTTCTTTGTCTTTGCCCCAAGTACTGCCGGCTAGCGACTTGAGGACCTTGGTGCGGCTCTGTACTTTATGTTGTTGTTGTTGTTGTATCGGCTACTAAGCCCCGTTCGGAGCGGTTCATCCATCATCGTTGTCGTCTATTTCAGCTAGGGGGAGGCCCAGGAAGTGTGCTACTTCCAGAGGGGCTGTCCATTGGGACAGGGGCGTTAGCTGACCGGGATTCTCAAGGCATGTGAAGAGGTGCCGGGAGTCGTGTGGCGATTCTCCACATGCCGGGAATTGGTTGGGCACATCCTCGTTGATTCTGCTCAGGTAGCTGTTGAGCCTGCTGCAATAGCCAGAGCGAAGCTGGGTTATTGTGGTGCGGGTTGTTGTTGTTGTTGTAGCGGCACTACTAAGCCCCGCCTGTTTC